GACGCGCCGCCGCCCCGGCTCCGCCGCGCCGCCTGAGCAGAGCCACCCGTCGGCCTGTAGCGTACGCCTCGGATGGGATTCTTGGCTCGCGTGCACCGCCCAACGACCCAACGGCCGGCGCCCCAGCGCGAGCGGGGGCCCCGGCCGGCGCCCCAAGCCGGCTCCTCTGGCAGTAGCCGATCCCAACGTGGCACTTTGGCAGAACCCTCCCCGACAGGGGATGCGATTCAAACCCCCGGCGGCGCCTCGACCAATCGCAAGCTGGCCGCCGGCCGAGCGGCGGCGAATTTGTCCAATCGAGTCTCACCGACCGCCGGCGGCTCGACCGGTCTCAAGCGCAAGCAGCCAATGGCGCCTTCGGAAGAAACAAAGAAGGCGGGAAAAAGAGAAGGGGTGCGGCCGAAATGGCCTGCCCCCCACTGTGGGTTGTATCGCTTCTGGGAGTCATTTGGCGGGTTGAGGAGCATGGGCGGCTGCGCGTGTGTAGATTAAACGAGTTAATCCATGGAGAGCGCTTTAAAGCAGTGGACTCGGCGGCCGAACGGTGCTGGCAGGCTGCGTGGGCGTGAGGGCGAAGAGTTTCGGCACTGAGCAGTGGGCAGTTGTCGGGGGCTCCCTTCGTGCAGGCAGGAGGCGCGAAGCGGGCTGGGAGCCCGAGGTCCCTGCCTGGCCGGCCCCTTCTTGTCTTTTGTCTCCCAGGTTTGACCACGCTGATGCGGGGAAATACAAGGGTCGGTCGGGAGTTTGCGGCCGAAGAACATACCATCTGAGTGTTAGCTGTTTTCTCCTTGACGTCTGTGCACTCATCCCTACACCCCTGGGAATGTTACTCGCTCCCCGTAAAGCAGTAGGTCGGAGACCCACTTGAGGATCTGTTGTGGAAAGAGGTGCGGTTGCAGCTATCTCCTTAGAAAAAAATCACAAGCAATTTGGCATATGAATATAAAAGGTTAGTAAACCACTCTCTTCCGGAGGGGAGAGAATGCAGCCCCAGCGCTTGATGGCTGGCGGGGCGTGGGCGCTGTTCACACAGACATGCTGTAACAAGCAAATGCTGCACATGGGTTTTTGGCATTTAGCATCATCATGTAGAGAAAGAACAGAAGGTCAGTGTTTATCAACCTTGATGTAAAAGTAAAAGGTACAGTTGATAGAAGGAGGGAAAGACAACAATGGTAGTATCTCTGTTTGACAGAGTGGAAGTCAACGTACTGTCTAATGATTATGGAACAAAAATTGAGGTTAAAGGGAGAATGAAGAAAACAAGATATAAGGAAAAGATTAGTCCAAAGAACTAATGGGCCACAACTACCACGGCCTCCACCTGACTGAGTCCAGTATGACTAGATGGCGCCCGGCTACCACCGCGGAGTGCTCTGACAGGGATCACAATAGAGGGTCCTGGACAGAGCTAGAGAAAAATGTAGAACAAAACTCTAACTCACTAAAAAAAGACCAGACTTACTGGCCTGACAGAGACTGGAGAAACACCGAGAGTATGGCCCCATTAGCTCTGTAATGAAGTCACTCCCGAGGTTCACCCTTAGCCAAAGATTAGACAAGCCCATTAAAAAAAAACAAGACTAAAACGGCACATCACCCCAGGGGTAAGGACTAGAAGGCAGGAGGGGACAGGACAGCTGGTAACAGGGAACCCATGGTCAAGAAGGAGGAGTGTTGACATGTCATAGGGTTGTTAACAAATGACATAAAACAGTATGTGTACTGTTTAATGAGAAGCTAGTTTGTTCTGTAAACCTTCATCTAAAGTACAATAAAAAAAAATAAAAGAAAAATAAGATAAAAGTAAGAAAAAAAAATGAGGTTTAAGTGTTTTGTTTAAAGTTTATCTAGAAGAACTTAAACCCCCAAAACCAAACCCACTGTCATAGAGTTGATTCTGACTCCTGGCAATCCCATGTGTTGCAGTGAGAACTGCTTCATAGGCTTTTCTTGGGAGACCTGGTGCCACAGTGGTTAGCGGCTTGGCTGCTGACCAAAACGGCAGTTCGAATCCACCAGTCGCTCCTTGGAAACCCAATGGGGCAGTCCTACCCTGTACTATAGGGTCACTATGAGTTGGAATCGACTTGATGGCAATGGGTTTGGTTTTTGTTTTTTTGGAACCTTTACAGAAGCAAATCGCCAGGACTTTCTTCCATGGTACTGCTGGGTGGGTTTGAACTGCCAACCTTTAGGTTAGTAGTCAAGAGGAAACCATTTAAGAAATCAGGCAAAAGAGAAGAGAAGGGGTAGTGTTAGTGAGTTAAATCCTCATCTATTACAGCAGTGAGTTGATAATATCTTAAACTGATAATTCAATAAGCAGTTTTCAATATGGAGATAACTGTTAATGTTGTTAGGTGCCAATGAGTCAATTCCGACTCATAGTGACCCTATGTGACAGGGTAGAACTGTTCCATAGGGTTTCCTAGGCTGTAATCTTTATGGAAGCAGATTGCCAGGTCTTTTTTTCAGCGAAGCCACTGGGTGTTTTTGAGCATTATCCTTTCCATTGCCTGGAAACTCTGGTGGCGTAGTGGTTAAGACCTACAGCTGCTAACCAAAAGATCGGCAGTTCAAATCTACCAGGTGCTCCTTGGAAACCCTATGGGGCAGTTCTTCTCTGTCCTATAGGGTCGCTATGAGTCGGAGTTGACTCGATGTCAATGGGTTATCCTTTCTGTTACCAGCCAAGTGCTTCACCATGGCACCACCAGGGCTCTGTATGGAGATAACTGCCAGAACAGAAATGGGAAACAATGAAAAGTTTGCCTAAGACCAGACTTCCTGGTCTAACAGAGACTGGAGGAACCCCTGAGTCTATGGTCCCTGGACAGTCTGCTAACTCAGAGTTGGAACCATTCCCGAAGCCCACTTTTCAAAGATTAGACAGACCTGTAAATCAAAAAATAACACTGTGAGGAACATGCTTCTTAGTTCGATCAAATATATGAGAGCAAATGGGCAGCTCTTGTCCAAAAGCAAGACTAGAAAGCAGGAACAACAGGAACTGGATGAATGGACACAGGGAACCCGGAATGGAAAGGGAGATCATGCTGTCACATTGTGGAAATTGCAACCAATGTCACAAAACAGTATGTGTATAAATTTTTGAATGAGAAATTAATTTGAGCTGTAAACTTTCACCTAAAGCACAATAAAATTTAAAGAAAAAAGTTTGCCTGAGGGGAGGTGGAGGTGGACCTGGGGATTTTTGCTTTTTATTATAAGCTGCTTTGTGAGATACATACATATATGTATGTATATATATACATACATATATGTATGTATATATATATATAACTCTGTGCACACTTTACTGTGGTTACAAAATAAGGAAAATTATAGGGAAGGAGTTAAAGATTCTCAGACTATGTTGTTGTTGTTTTCCTATATAAATGAATAAACACTTGAGTAATTTCGAGGAGAGCAAAAACCCACCCTAAGTATCCTTGTGGGTATTAAAATTTACCGTGTCCCTCCACCTCCTATCTTTGCTCACATCAGTGTAATCTCATGCTGATGGTATGAATGTCTAAGAGCTTGTCGTCAGGGCTAGCTAGTGCATAGGCTGTAAACTACTACCCTCAGGAGAAGTCTTGCCAAGGACGAGAAAACCTACGTCCCCATTGTGGGGTTGTTTACTCTTCTGTCCTTAAGGAAGACTGCTTTATAAGTGGAAAGTACAATGGACCTATAGTCAGAAGACCTAGAGGCCCAGCCCCAGTTGTTCCAGTAGAGAAGTCTTTAGCTTCTTTAGGTTTGCTGGAGAGATTACCTCTCTGCCTTGCTCACAGTTATGAGACTCAAAGAGACAAATTATAAAAAAGTATTTTATGCCCTTTTTAAAGGTAAGATGGTGTCATTGTTACTGATACTGTTAACAAAATACAGGTATCCTTGGGGACAGTTGTTGTTAGGTGCTGTTGAGTCTGTTCCGACTCATAGCAACCCTATGTACAACAGAAGGAAACGCGCCATCCGCACAATTGTTGCTATGTTTGAACCAATTGTTGCAGCGATTGTGTCAGTCCACCTCATTGAGGGTCTTCCTCTTTTTCGATGATCCTCTAGTTTACCAAGCGTGATGTTCTTCTTCAGGGACTGGTCTCTCCTGATAACATGTCCCAAGTACGTGAGACAAAGTCTTGCCATCTTCCCTTCCAAGGAGCATTCTGGCTGTACTTCTTTCAAGACAGATTTGTGCGTTCTTCTGGAAGTTCATGGTATATTCAATATTCTTCGTCAACACTATAATTCAAATGCATCAATTCTTTGGTCTTCTTTATTCATTGTCCAGCTTTCACATGCATATCAGGGGATAGAAAATACCATGGCTTGGGTCAGGCACACCTTAGTCCTCAAAGTGGCATCTTTGCTTTTTAACACTTGAAACAGGTCTTTTGCAGTAGATTTGTTTTTTGGGGATGATATGAGTATCAACATAAATAATAGTAATGGATTATAACCCACTGAATGAAAGAATTCACGAGCCCATACTGATGCAAATAAATAAACAGGGTGGGGGGTGGAGGAAAGGGAAAGCGCTTTCTTATAATGATGTTACCAAACCACCATACCCGCTGCCATTAGGTCAATTCCAACTCATAGCGACCTTATAGAATAGAGTAGAGCTGCCCCATAGGGTTTTCAAGGAGCAGCTGGCGGATTAGAACTGACGACTCTTTGGTTAGCAGCCTGAGGTCTTAACCAGTGCACTACAAGGGGTCCTTATAATGATGTTAGAAGGTAATAACAATAATAGCAGCAGTAATAATAATAAAAGGGGAATGGTAAATTCACAAATCCCTTTCTCCTGAATCCAAGTCTACTAAAAGGCAAAATGTT